TCAGCCTTGGACTTTAACAATAGGAACTTCATGTGCTGACTTAGGAACTTAAACAAGTTCATAAACTAGGTTGAGTTCATCCTCATGACAGTCCATTCCGAGGTGAACTCCCTTGGATGATGTACACCTCGGATGAACTCAACTACTTGAGCTAATCCTCATGCTAGCCCATCCTAAGGTAAACTACCTCGGATGAGGTAAACTACCTCGGATGAGCTCTATTGCTTGAGCTCATCCTCATGATAATTGGGTGAACTACCCCGGATGAGGTAAATGACCCCGGATGAGGCAAACGACCTCGGATTAACTCGGACTATCCCCTACCCACGTAACCTCCACATCATTCACAAGTGAATGACTCCCAGAGGGGGAATAGTGTGATGGTAGTCCGAGGTCAACTATCTTGGATGAGGTAAACCTCGGATGAGCTCAATTGCTTGAGCTCATCCTCATGATAACCCATGTCGAGGTCAACTACCTTGGATGAGGTAAACCTTGAATGAACTCAATTGCTTGAGCTCATCCTTATGACAGCTAAGCTCAGGTCTAGCTTGCAACTAGCTTACCATTTCACCAGCTATCTTGTGTTCCACCTCTCATGGGCCATTCATCAATAAGATATGCTGAGCCCTTATTTATTAAATGTGTTGAATATAATATATTTTTCATGTTTCAACTAAAAGTGAGTGGCTTAAATGACATTTATTTATGTTAATACATTTGTGGAGCCTCATGCAAATGATGGAATAATCCACAAGCTAATGGTATCCATGAGCTAGTGGTCTTTATTATTGGTTTTAACTTAAAGAGATAAATCTCTCTTTGAGAGGGGGAGTAGGAATACATAAGCAACAAAAATAAACTTACATAAGCAACAAAAATAAACTTTCACATTTTACTCAACATGTGCTTAACTTGCTGCTTGAATATATTTTGAAACTCATATTTTAGCGTTGTTTATTTTGATAACTCATGTCACAAACATTTATATTTAATTCCAAATTATTGTGCCACTTTAATGTTGATGTATCTCATGTATTATTGACTATTAATAAACTAATGGCATTTTGTCAAGTTCTATGTTTAGAATGAATTTTTACAGGTCTCAAGAGTTTGTTAACTCCTTGGCTTGGAAGACTCGGAAATATGTTATCAGCTTCTAAACTTATCAGTTCACCAGAAAATACTATTGGCCTTTGAGCCCATTAGCTATTGGCTTTTTTAGCCCATTCAATCTACAAGAGCTTGCGTTCATCAACTATCAGCTTCTCAGCTCATTTGTTCTATGAAAGTTCAGTTCAATCTTAACACTGCAAAGCACAACCTTCAAAGGGGTTTGATTTTATGCTATGACTCGAAAGACCAAGATTTTCTTATGGGCATCTTAAGGTGGGATTCTGTGGTAGGCATCTCTAACTACCAAAATTGGCATTCAATCAACTCTACAAAAACTAGTTCTGATCCTAACTCTACAGAGCATGACTCTCAGAAGTTTGACTTCCATTTGTTATGGCTCATGAGGTTGCAATTGTCACTTTCGAGTCGTCATTTTCAGGTCATCATTCTTAACTACAACCATAACACATGACTATGGGTCATGCACCTTTACCTCGGCTACGGCCCCAATGACCACGCGTCACCTATTTTATCTCGGCTACGGCCAGTGACCACGCGTCACCTATTTCATCTCGGCTACGGCCAATGACCACGCATCACCTATTTCATCTCGGCTACGGCTAGTGACCACGCGTCAGCTATTTTATCTCGGCTACGGCCAGTGACCACGCGTCACCTATTTTATCTCGGCTACGGCCAGTGACCACGCGTCACCTATTTCATCTCGGCTACGGCCAGTGACCACGCGTCACCTATTTCATCTCGGTTACGGCCACAGTGACCACGCGTCACCTATTTCATCTCGGCTACGGCCCCAGTGACTACGTGTCACCTATTTTACCTCGGCTATGGCCCCAGTGACTACGTGTCACCTATTTTACTTCGGCTTCGGCCACAGTGACTACGTGTCACCTGTTTTACTTCGGCTCCAACCACAGTGACTGTGTCACCTATTTTACTTCT